TACAATGGAATAGAAACCTCTATTTATAGGGAGAGAGTGACTTAGCCACCAAGTAATAAACCCTAGAATCTCTCTAAATATAGACATTCACCATAAATAAAATTCTATTTATAACAATGATATTTTTTTACATAATAACTCAATCAGAGATTCACTTTACCATTTTTTTATGGAAAGTTACAATTTATTGGTACTATTTCAATTACAATTACTTTCTATCACAACATGAAAAGCTTATAGACTTGACTCTAATGAACTTCTAAGAAAAATGTAGTAATAGAAAATAAAACTATAGAATTAATTGCAAAAAGTATTTTTCTGAAGTAACATCAGTATTTCTTAAAAAGAATCTAATTAATATTGTATCTTAAACTTAGGCGTTGAAAGCAGTGAGAAAGTAGTCATATTAGCAAGCGGATTTTATACGACATTTGAAATTATACTTTGCAGACTAAAAGGGCTAACACTCTTGAAAACCCTTCATCACCACCATAGGAAAATACTTCCACGCCTTCTACCACTCCTTCAACCACACTACTCTCTAAGAAAAGTAGAGTAAAAATGATGGCTCACTAGATTGTCGCTGGAGGAGAGCAGATCAAGAAATTAAACAAACAATTGAAAGTAGGTAGGGAAGAATAATCCCAGAAATATGATGAATCTTTCAAATCTGCTACTGAGGGGGGAAGAAACCGTTTCTTCTGAAACTGAACATGTATCATCTGGCCCTAAAGTCACGCCTGAAACTATTTCTGAGGTTTCTACAAATTTGGAGAATAGGTTTGTGCTGGTAGGAAAAGAGAAAGAGAGTGAGGGTGCTCGAAGTACTGTGAGGGGAAAGGGTAAAAGAGTGGTTGATTCTTCACCCACTCCTGTTAGTCTAACCAAAGAAACAGGTGCAATGGTTGTTTGGGAAGAGGAATCTGCTAGAATAAAGGAGAGTGTGAGCAAAACAGGGAGAAATGGGTCTAGCGAAGCCGCTGAAGGGTTGGTTCAACTTGGGAAAAATGTAGATGAACTTGTTCCATCTGAACAGGAAACCCTCGCAGACTTACTGAAAAAGGTGATTGAAAGTTATAATCCAAAGAAGAAAGGGAGTTCAAAGGTTAAAATCCCTGGCACTGCTTGGGCAGACAAGAAAAGGAAGGTTGCCCCTTCTGTTACTGTTGAAAGTCCTCCCACAAGAGGAAGCGCCACAAGAAGTCAGCTAAAGCAGAATGAGGCAGAACTGCAGAAAGCCTTAGAAGAAAGTAAAAGAAAAGCAGTTGCTAAGGGAAAGAAGAAGATAGATGATCATGTTAAGGTTGTTGATATTGATGAGAGCGGTCTGGTCCTTCTAGATGAAGATGAGACTGAAGAAGTGGAGGTTCTGACTCCCAAACCCAAGAAAGCCAAGACTTCCACTAAGAAGTATGTTTTAGAGTCAAAGCTTGCTGAACCATCCAACTTGGCAAAAAGAACAAGGTCTGGAGTGAAGTCAAAACAAGTGAAAATGGTTGAGAAAGAAGAATGGAGTGGAGAGGAAGAAGATGATTCTGACACTAAGAAAGGCAAGATGGCCAAGTTTGGCAAGAGGACAATTTTGAAGGGTAGACTCCTCGGGGACTTGGAGGAGCAAGGAATGGTGTTGCTATTGGAGAAGTTGGAGTTGTATGGCTGGAAGGACATGGTCCTTCAGATGGATGGCAGGTTGGCCAGGAATGAAATTGTTGAGTTTATGGAAAATGCTGAGGTGAAAAATAGAAGGATTACAAGTATGGTGAAAGGAGTGAAAGTCTCTTTCGATGTGAAGGAGTTGGAAGAAATTCTAGGTGTACCTGCTGAGGGGTAAAGTGACTATACAAAGCTCAAGTGGCCAAGCCTAGAAAATCTTCCTATTGCCCTTGCCATTACCAGAAAATTCAGTGACAATGAGGAGGAAATTGAGCCCAAGGCTATGTTCAAGAGTGAGATGAAGCCACCCCACAAGGTGTTGTTCGAATTTGTCAACAAATGCATCTTGCCAAGGCCGGAAAGGAGGCACATTGCAAACTTCATAGACTTGGTCTTGATGGAGTGTTTGGATAGTGGGAGGTAGATCAATTGGCCTGGATTTATTATCCAGCTTCTTGATAGGGTTATAAACGGCACCAAGACACATGCCATTCCCTATGGCTTTATTCTCACGACTGTGCTTGCACATTTCAAGGTACCTATGAAGAAGTGGGAGGTTGGTACAAGCAAGGATCATTTTGGGGCAAATACTCTGCTTGCTTGTGACTATGAAGTCCATGCCACTCCTAAAGAACCTGGTTCATCCAAGAAGGTACCAGTGAATAGCAAGGTGCGAGCCTTGGTGCAAGAAAGTGGGGCTAAGGATGCTGAGATTGAGAGGCTGAAAAAGAGGTTGGTTGAGGTGTAGACTGAAAGAGATGCTCTCAGAACTGAGCTGGCAAAAGAAAAGGAGAAGAATGATGGCATTTTTCAAGATATGCTAAAACTACTCCAAGCCTAAAATCAAGAACCTGGTCCTTCCTGGCCTTAAAGCCTCCTAGCCTACTGTAGATCAACTAGTGACCTAGTTCGGGATTTTTGTTTCTTTTGCTCATGTTTCCAGTGTTTTTATTTCTTCTTATGATTTGTGGTAGAATCTTATCAATCATCAATGAAATTCACTGTCTTTTGCTCTAACTGTTTGTTTATATTTCTTTGATGGTTAAAATTCTTAGCTTGATCTATAATGATTAATCCATAATTGCATTTGAAGTAGCCCCACTGGCCATGAGTAAGTTTTAAAATTTGGTTATCTTACAGTTTATGCAACTTTTCGATGATGCCAAAAGGAGGAAAAAGGTTGTGCTTTACACTTTGAACAGTGATGTTTATAACCTAATGTACCTGGTCCTTGACGATAAGTGATAAAAAGAAAAAATATTTCTCATATTGTGTTGATGTTGAGCTAAGTTGAAGCAGGGCCTAAGCTTATGAAAAGCACAGAGTTTGTCATCATAAAAAAAGGGGAATTTGTTGGCCCAAGTGAAGGTTTGTTTTGAAGATTGACAAAGGAAGCTCAGGCATGAACCAGGTCCATCCCTTGTGTGCATAGACATGGGCAGATTCGAGCATGTGGGATGCACGTGAAGGAGATAATTAAGATTAACTTGGTATATTTGATATCTCCTGATCGAAAAGGTTGCATAATTGATAATTAAGGAGAAGGACTCCTTACTCAAAGAGAACACTACCCAAGATAGGGAATGAATTAGAGGTTGAAGTTAACTAGAACTCTTCCACCAAAGGAAGAGTAGCATTAGAACTCTAGTTATTTTCTACTCTACTAACTCTATAAATTGCAGGATGTTCTCACTTTACAGGTTACACTCAAAAGCAGAAGTTACACGTGAATTGAGAGCAAAATAACAGGGCATTTTGCAAGCAGTTCGTGTGTGATTCAAGTGTGCAAACCTGAAGCTACATGAACCGGATAGAAGAACCCGTTCCAAGTGTCTGTCTTTTATCTAGTTCAATAGTAGTAGGTGTTTTCATATTGTACCTTTCAGCTTTATCTAGAGGCAATTGTAATAGGTACTCAGAGTATTCAAGTTAGAGTTAACTTGAAGTTGTCGCAACAGTTAGAGGCTGTTTGCCACAACGGGATTAGAGTTAATCCTAGGTTTACAAAAGTGTTTTGTAAATGCAGGTCGTGATTTTTTCACCTTTTGAGTCAGGTGTTTTCCACGTAAAATACTTGTGTTATTTACTTTCCGCATTTACTATTTCAGCAATAGTAGGTTAAGGAACACTTAGACGAACCAGGTCCTTCCATAATAGGTTTAAGCGAAAAATTGAACACCACACAAATCACACACCCTGTGTGGTATTGAAGTTAAAACATCAATCTAAATAAAATTATACAAGCAAGCAGAGTTACTATTGGCAAAAATATTGAAACATGTCACGTATCTACACCATATTGTTTGGTTGGATATTGGAGTATAATTATCTTTATTTTAAATTTTTAAATTTTTATAGTTTTAGTTTATTTATTTATTTTTACTTAATTGCAAGTGATAAAGACCTCATTCTTCCTTGTAACCAAATATTTTTTTCACATTCACATTATCTAAAGAACACTTGCATTTCCATCTCAATCACTTAAATAGTAACTTGATGCGTAATTAAAAGAGTCTACATAATAATACAAAACTTCATTGCATTTTAATATATAGATTGATTAAACATATTTGATATATACCGTTGGCTTGGCGACAAAATTATCACTATTCCACTTAGTATATTATATTGTTGTTATTGTTACCGCTTGGTGTTATTGCTTTTCTTTTCGTCTCGTGAGCCAAAGGTCTATCTGAAACAGTTTCTACCTTCAAAGTGGGGGTAAGGTGATTTCGTCTCTAATACCTTCAAGGTGGGAGTAAGATCGTATACATTACTCTCCCCAGACTTCACTGGTGGGATCACAATGGGTTTGTTGTTGTTATTGTTGTTAATTCTAAGGTGGAAGTTTATATCAAATTTATGGGTGCAGTATTTGTATAGGGACCTTTGAATGTGAGACAAATATCAAAACAATTTATGTAACTGATATCGTATGCCAATATTTTATAAAATAAAATAGCATTAAATTTATTCTAAAATTGATGTTCGATTTGAGATCGAGAACTACAAAGTTTAACTTTCAGGCTCCAAACTCCTTCATTTTTTTCTAAAATGAAGAATATATATATAACAGTGAGTCAATTTGAATTTTTGTTTTTGAAAGAGTCTAACGTAAACCAAAAATCTATCATCATTAAGAAGAAGCTTCACAATAATTTCCTACCACATTAAATATTACAGTATGTACTATTAGTTGACTAGGTCCTATACCAATAATTTTATAGAGTAGAACATTAAAAAGAAGCTTCATAAAAAAAACCCTGCACTATTTAATTACTTTCTATAAAATAATAGAATGAGAGGGACGTTTGTGTTTTTGCTTTGGAGCAATAATTCAACTGGGAAAGGTAGACTCTTTCTTTGTAGCTTCATCCACTTGTCTTTGAAGGAATTTCCTACATCCTTCTATTAAAGTTCAAAGAAAATCCAGTGCCAATAATTCCTTCTATAGCATTAACTCTTATTTCTTCTAACCTATAATCTTGTTGAAAATATTATCTATTGTTCTCTTACCACAATAACAATTTTTTCAGATACAGTTTTCTTACTCTTTTCAGAGACTTAACACTGAGTCCATGGCATCTTCTTCTTCTTCTTCTTCTAGATGGAGCTATGATGTTTTCCTAAGTTTTAGAGGTGAAGATACTCGAAAAACATTTACAAGTCACTTATACGAAGTCTTGAATGATAGGGGAATAAAAACCTTTCAAGACGATAAAAGGCTAGAGTACGGTGCAACCATTCCAGAAGAACTCTGTAAAGCTATAGAAGAGTCTCAATTTGCCATCGTCATTTTCTCAAAGAATTATGCAACATCGAGGTGGTGTTTGAATGAACTAGTGGAGATCATGGAATGCAAGACTCAATTTAGACAAACTGTTATACCGATATTCTATGATGTGGATCCATCACATGTTCGGAACCAAAAGGAGAGCTTTGCAAAAGCCTTTGAAGAACATGAAATAAAGTATAAGGATTATGTTGAGGGAATACAAAGATGGAGGATTGCTTTAAATGCAGCGGCCAATCTCAAAGGCTCATGTGATAATCATGAAAAGTGAGTTAAAAACATATAAGCTGAATACTTTGCATTTAAATGAGTAAACATAATCTAAAATATATTTTTCAAATTTTCTGAATAAGTAATGGTGTTAATTATATATGTTTCTATCAATTTAATTACAAACTCAATAACATTATTACGTAGATAAAATCTTAATTAGTTCTTCAAAGAGTTTGATTTATGTGCACACTCCTTGTATATATCACAATTTTCTTACTTTTTAGGACTGATGCAGATTGTATTCGGCAAATTGTTGACCAAATCTCATCCAAATTATGCAAGATTTCTTTATCTTATCTGCAAAACATTGTTGGAATAGATACTCATTTAGAGGAAATAGAATCCTTACTAGAGATAGGAATCAATGATGTTCGGATTATGGGAATTTGGGGTATGGGTGGAGTCGGTAAAACGACAATAGCAAGAGCTATGTTTGATACTCTCTTAGTAAGAAGGGATCGTTCCTATCAATTTGATGGTGCTTGTTTCCTTGAGGATATTAAAGAAAACAAAGGTAGAATACATTCTCTGCAAAATACCCTTCTCTCTAAACTGTTAAGGGAAAAAGCTGAGTACAATAATAAGGAGGAGGGAAAGCACCAAATGGCTAGTAGATTGTGTTCTAAGAAGGTCTTAATTGTGCTTGATGACATAGATGATAAAGATCATTATTTGGAGTATTTAGCAGGTGATCTTGATTGGTTTGGTAAGGGCAGTAGAGTTGTTGTAACAACTAGAAACAAGCATTTGATAGGGAAGAATGATGCAATATATGAAGTGACTGCACTACCTAATCATGAATCCATTCAATTGTTCTATCAACATGCTTTCAGAAAAGAAGATCCAGATGAGTGTTTTAAGGAGCTCTCATTGGAGGTAGTAAATTATGCTAAAGGCCTTCCTTTAGCCCTCAAAGTGTGGGGTTCTTTGTTGCATAACCTAGGCTTAACTGAATGGAAAAGTGCTATAGAGCACATGAAAATTAATTCTAATTCGAAAATTGTTGAAAAGCTCAAAATAAGTTATGATGGATTGGAGCCCATCCAGCAAAAGATGTTTCTAGATATAGCATGCTTCTTTCGAGGGAGATATAAAGGTTACGCCATGCAAATTCTTGAGAGTTGTCATTCTGGAGTTGAATACGGATTGCGTGTCTTAATTGACAAATCTCTTGTATCCATCTCCGAAAAAGGTGAGATTCAAATGCATGACTTTATAGAAGATATGGGTAAATATATTGTGAATTTTCAAAAAGATCCCGAAGAACGCAGCAGACTATGGCTCGTCGAGGATTTCGAAGAAGTGATGATCAACAATACAGTAAGTAGGCTAAACAATGAAATAATATTTAATTTCTAATGTTTATATTCCAAAGACACATATATAGGGCAGTCAATTCCAATTTTTTGTTCATCATGCTTCATACTCTTGATCTTCTTACCAGGGGACCGTGGCAATGGTAGCAATCTGGGTTTCTTCTTATTCTTGTACACTACGCTTTAGCAATGAGGCCATGAAAAATATGAAAAGGCTTAGGATATTTAACATAGAGAGGTCGTCGACCCGTGATGCCATTGAGTATTTGCCCAATAGTTTGCGTTGTTTTGTCTGGTCTTACTATCCTTGGGAGTCATTGCCAGAAAATTTTGAACCCAAAATGCTTGTTCACCTTGAACTCTGGAGCAGTTCACTACGTTATTTATGGATGAAAACAAAGATACAATAGTTGACTTCTATTTATTTTTCTCTCTAACTATCTTTGTCCTTTAATTTAGTGATAATGAACAAAGATTATCGCTTTTATCACGTATTATTTGAGGTATTTTCTATTTTTGCAACAATTATGATGCATGTCTTTAAACGAACAAAGGTTATTAATTCCATAAGCTCAAATAATTGTATTTCCATCTCAAAAAAATTAATTTTATAATATTTGGGGTTGTTCTTAATATTATTGTAAGAGCTTCATGTCTTTTTTCTCCAAATCATCCCATCATCATTTTAACTAAGAAGCTCAATTTAAAAGCTCCTTCAAATATTTCTCATAGTAAGATTAGATTCATAAGAATAAAACAAAAGGAATTTATTGTGTACACAGTGGGACGGAAGGAATGCTTATTAATAAAACAAAAGGAATTTATTGGGTACAACTATTTTTTCGAATGAGATATACGCTTTCATACATTGCTTCTGGATTTAATATTTGGGTTTCCCCATTTTATATTACACTTTTTTAAAGAGAGAAACATTTTTCTCTTTGCTACAATTTTTTTCAATCATGTCAAATTACAGTTAGCAAAACTTTTATTTATAATTTACTTTTATTCAGTTTCTTAACAAGTAATTTTCATAATAAAAAATAAATATCTAAATTTCCCACAAAAATAATGTGTTGGCCCTCATAATTCAAATGCTATCATTCATTTAATTAAGAATTCAAGAAAACAGAGGTTATTTGATACCCACAAATACAAATGAAAGGTTAAAACAGTTTCTTATTGGAATATTTTATCTCCAATATAGTTAAAACAGAGGTCATAGATAACCAAATATTTTATTATTGGAATCAGCAAAATAGGTTCTTTCTTTTTTTTCATTATGTCTGTGTTCTGAACAGCATTTGCCGTCTCTACGGAGGATAGATCTCAGCTTCTCCAAAAGCCTAATGCGAACACCAGATTTCACGGGGATGCCAAATTTGGAGTATTTGAATCTGAAGAATTGTAGTAATCTTGAAGAGGTTCACCATTCCTTGGGATGTTGCAGCAAACTCATTCGGTTAAATTTGATGTATTGTGAAAGCCTTAAGAGGTTTCCATGTGTTAACATGGAATCTCTTAAATATCTGAGTGTAGGAAATTGCTCTCGGTTAGAGAAATTTCCAGAAATCCTCGGAAGAATAAAGCCGGAGTTGGAGATTGGCATAAGGGAACTACCATCCTCTTATTTTCAATACAAATCTCATATTACCGAGCTAGATTTGAGTTATATGAAAAACCTTGTAGCTCTTCCAAGCAGCATATGTAGGTTGAAAAGTTTGGTTAGTCTGAATGTGTCGGGTTGCTTGAAACTTGAAAGCTTGCCAGAAGAGATGGGGGATTTGGACAACTTGGAGGAGCTTGATGCTAGCTATACTCTAATTTCACGACCTCCGTCTACCATCGTACGCTTGAACAAACTTAAAATCTTGAAGTTTGGAGTGAGAGATGGAGTGCACTTTGAGTTCCTTCCAGTATTGGCTGAAGGATTACGGTCATTGGTACATCTGAATCTCAGTGACTGCAATCTAATAGATGGAGGACTTCCGGAAGACATTGGATCTTTATCCTCTTTGAAAGAATTGTATCTCAATGGAAATAATTTTGAGCATTTGCCTCGAAGCATAGCCCAACTTGGTGATCTTCGAATCTTGCACTTAAGAGATTGCAAGAGGCTTACACAGCTGCCACAACTTCCACCAGAATTAAATGAATTGCATGTAGATTGTCATACGGCTATGAGAAGTATCCATGATTTAGTAACAAAGAGAAAGAAACTACAGTGCGTGATATTCGAGTCATTTGATTATGAGGATGATGCACACAATGATTTTATATATAATTTGTTTGCACATGCCCTGTTTCAGGATATCTCTTCCTTGAGGCATCACATCTCTGCTTCAGATTCCTTGTCCGAAAATGTGTTTACCATTGTGCATCCAAAGAAGAAGATACCGAGTTGGTTCCACCATCAGGGTTGGGATAGTAGTGTATCAGTCAATTTGCCTGAAAATTGGTATATACCTGATAAATTCTTGGGATTTTCTGTATGTTACAATGGCAGCTTAATTGACACCACAGCTCAATTGATTCCCGTATGTGATGACGGGATGTCGTGCATCATTCACAAACTTGACTTATCCAACCATTCAGAATGTGATACAGAATCATCCGGCAGTTCAAAAAGGGATACAGAATTCGCTATTCATTTTTTGTTGGTACCTCTTGCTGTCTTATGGGATACATCTGAGGCAAATGGAAAAACACCAAATGACTATGGGATTATTAGGCTATCTTTTACTGGAGAAATGAATAAGTATGGAGTTCGTTTGTTGTATAAAGAAGAACCTGAGGATGAGGCCTTGTCACAAATGAGGGAAAATAACTATGAACCAACAGAACATTCTACTGGGATAAGGAGGACCCGATATAAAAATAGTGTACACCATGACTCTGTGACCGATGAATCCAGTTGCTGCTGTCGCATACTCTAATAACATTAGAAACAAAGGTCACATTCTAATGGCAGTAACTTGCAAGTTTGGAAGCCATTTGCTCTATGAAGAGCACATGTTTCCTTTGTTTGTAGCGGAACAACTAGACTCTTGGCCTGAGAAAGAGATTCGCGAGAGAACTTACTTGGGTATGCAATAATCCATTCATTTTAAGTCTACATATATCTATATACTGGTCTTATTAGTAAAGGTGACGTGATACCTCTCTTAGACCAGAATAGTAGTCTTGTGAAATGAAATCACATCTTCGCCTTTGCTGACAGGTAAAAACCAATTTAGATGAATGTTCGCGAAGCAAGAAAGCTGTGCCAAAATGGATGGATGAAAGAAGCCTTGGAACTGTTCTTCCTTTGGGATGTAGAGCTCAACTAGTCTTGTATTCTCTCCATCAGAAACTGATGTTCACTTTTCACTTGCAAAATAATTTTCATCTTAAAAAAACCAGAAGTATGGTTCATAATAATTTTGTACATATTTGAATATTGCTTGTCGTAATGATCATGCTCTAACTTTAGCAATACACTTTTGCAGGGCCATTTTCATATCTGTACCAAGTTAAATGTGGAGGTTCAGTTTAGTATAGAGGGAGTAAAACATCTTCTTAAATATTGTTTTTTTCCTTCATAAACAGTCCTGAAAAGGAAAAATCTGTTTCATTTGGAACTTCAATAATCGCAGAAGTACCAGATGAATCATACTTTATATATCATGAAAAGAGTAGAAATCAGAAATTTCAAACAACACTTGCAACAAACATGCATGTTTCCTAGGAAAGCTTTCCAAAACTTCAAAAACCTTGCAACAAAGTACTATATGCTTTCTTTACTTGTATTTATGCTATTCTTTTCTGACAAAATCGATGTATATGTAGGTGTTGAGATACGTTGGATTCGTGGATGGTGTCAATGGAAAAGCGACTGTCGAGCTGTAAAGATACAGTAACGAACTCCCATTTGCACAACTCTCAGGATCGCATAGTAGTGTGTGGTCCGATGCACTAAGCTCCCGCTAGGCGTGGGGCCCGGAGAAGGGTGGAACCACAAGGGTCTATTGTACGCAGCCTTACCCTGCATTTCTGCAACATGCCGTTTCCACGACTCGAACCCGTGACCTCCTGATCACATGACAACAACTTTACCAGTTACGCCAAGGCTCCCCTTCAATTACCGCAAGCTAGTATTTTGCTTTTTTTTAGTACCAAGTTTTAGACTTTGTTGTATGATTTTCATGTGGAAAGATGTATTTGGTGCTAAGGTGCTAGTTCAATTGTTAACTGCATTTCTGATTACCAAGTTTCAGGCCTTTGTTACAGTCAACAGCCTCTACCAATATATGCCACACTGTAGTCTCTATGCTTTACATCGGTGTTGCCGTTAGAGCAACAACATGCATGGCTTGCTCTGTGGCTCGTCTCTTCTCTTCTTCTGTAGGATTTTTTTTGTAGCTTGCTTATTTGTAAATTGCAAACTCTGATATTGATTAAGTGGTATTTTGGTCAAGATGCAAATTTATATCTTGAAGGGATACTCCCTTGTTAGTGAAGCGTATTGGTGATGTATGTTGATGCATCTAACAACTTATTTGGATGATTGTTACTAGTTGTATTGTATCGTATTGTTATTTTAAATACATTGTTTGTTTTGATTGTTTCTTAAATTTTATTGTATCGTATTGTTAAATCCGTTGTTATGTAACGATAAAAAGTGTCACTTTATATAACGACCGATTTGGTGTGGTCGCATTGTTTTCTTATTTTTTATTTTTTTTATCTCTATCTTGCCCTTCCATATTATTAAATAATCCTATTTCTTTACCCTATTTTTATATATTAATTCTACCGCGTACCTTACTTTTTCTTTATAATATTGTAAGTGTATTCTCCATATTGTTAGTGTTTGATATCATGAAACGACGGAAAACAATGCAATCTATCCAGACATATCATACATCAAAATGATACCGTACAATACTAAGATACATTATGAAACCATGCGTAACAACCAAAGCGTACAAGGCAATATTTTTCTGGACTCTTTATGCGACTGTTTTAAGGGCTAATAATATCTATAGCAAAACCATAACAAGAGTTCATTTTGTGAAATGATGAAATAAAAATTTTACAACTTGACCACCCACCCACCCACCCCCCCCACACCAAAAAATGGCTAAAGGAAAAATGAAGTTGAGAAACGGAAAGAAGAGGAGGAAAATGGGCAGGAAGACTGCGAGTCTGGGTATAACAACTTTGCTCCAACAGTCGTATTGAGATTAGATTGTATTTATCCTGTATACACTTTGTATGTTAGTTAGATATAGTTGATTAGTTAGTTGGTTATTACAGCTGGCGGTAGTTAGTGGTCAAGTTGTCCAGCTGTCACTTTTGTGTACATATATAGCACTGTACATTTTTCCTCATTTCAGTTAAGCATCATTCTTCAATGAAGAAGTTACTCTTTGCTCTCCTATCCTCTCCTCCTTCAGAAGCTTCGAGATTCTGCTATGGCAGCTGGAGTTGAGCTTCATTGAGCTTGTCTTAGTTACAGTCTTCACATGGTATCAGAGCGAGGTTAATCCTCCTCAAATCGCGAGGTTAATCTTCCTCACATTCTCTTTTCTACTTAGAGATTTCCTTCTCTCTTTTGCTCTTCTGTTTCTGACCTAGTATGATCGATTTACCCTAAGCTCGATCAATTTCTCGTTTTTAATTGATTCAAAGCATAGAAATCTGAGGATTTTCATTCCAATTGTTCTTTGCCCTATCAAATTTTAATTAATTCAAAGTTATAATGGCAATCACTGACCAACAAGATGCGAATTCTGCTAATACGAGTGCCACGATACCTCCGAGTACTGGAATTGATCCAAGTGATCCCCTGTATTTGCATCCTTCTGACAATCCTGGAGCAATGCTGGTATCTGTTCCATTTGATGGGATAGGTTATAGATCCTGGAGGCGTGGTGTTCTTCGTGGATTGTCCGCAAAGAACAAATTAGGTTTTGTCAGTGGAGAATGCAAACAACCAAATCTGCAATCCCCAAATTATAGGCAGTGGGAACGATGTGATAACATGGTAACATCGTGGATTTTAAATTCTCTTTCCAAATAGATTGCGGATAGTGTGGAGTATGCAAGTGATGCTGTTGAATTGTGGAAGGAACTGGAGGATCGTTATGAACAAACCAATGGAGCTAGCTGTATCAAATTCAGAAGGAGATTAATGATCAACTTGCAGACATTCTTACCAAGGCCCTTACAGTCATCAAGCATTCTACTGGGTATTGAGATTAGATTGTATTTATCCTGTATACACTTTGTATGTTAGTTAGATATTGTTGATTAGTTGGTTATTATAGCTGGCAGTAGTTAGTGGTCAAGTTGCCCAGCTGTCACTTTTGTGTACATATATAGCACTGTACATTTTTCCTCATTTCAGTTAAGCATCATTCTTCAATGAAGAAGTTACTCTTTGCTCTCCTATCCTCTCCTCCTTCAGAAGCTTCGAGATTCTGCCATGGCAGCTGGAGTTGAGCTTCATTGAGCTTGTCTTAGTTACAGTCTTCACAAGTCGTAGAGATATACAATTTTCTTTCGGAAGAGAATTACAAGGTATTTTACTTAATTACTTGATTCTTCTATTGCCATTTTCCATAGAATTAAGTAGACATAGTATTTGGACTTTGGAGCAATAATTCTATTCAACTGGGCATATTATTTTCTTTGTTTCTTCATCGGCTTGTATTCAATAAAAAAAATATACCACTACAATTTATCCACAGTTTTTTTGTTTTGTTTTCATATCAACCAATAAACTGAATCCATGGCATCTTCTTCTTCTTTCGCGAGTAATTCACAGTACTATCCTCGATGGAAGTACAATGTTTTCCTAAGTTTTAGAGGTGAAGATACTCGCAAAACGTTTACAGGGCACTCATATGAAGGCTTGAGAAACAGGGGAATATTTACCTTTCAAGACAGACAAAAGGCTAGAGCATGGCGCATCCATCTCAGAAGAACTTTGTAAATTTATCGAAGAGTCTCAAGTTGCCGTCATCATTTTCTCAAAGAATTATGCTACATCGAGGTGGTGCTTGGATGAACTAGTGAAGATTATGGAATGCAAGACTCAATTTGGACAAACTGTCATACTGGTCGTCTATGATGTGGATCCATCACATGTTCGGAACCAAAGGGAGAGTTTTGCAGAAGCATTTTCCAAACATGAATCAAAGTTTAAGGATGATGTTGAGGGAATATTGCAGAATGTACAAAGATGGAGGAGTGTTTTAACTGAAGCGGCAAATCTCAAAGGCTGTGATATTCGTAACAAGTGAGTTAAAACACATTAGCTGGAACAGAGGGAATACTTTGCATTCAAAATTGGATGCTTCTATGAAGACTAGCTGCACATATTGAACTATAGAACAAAGAATCTATACCTCAAAAATGAGTCAAACAGAATCCTTAAAGAAATTTTTCATTGCGTGAATAATAAGGAGGACGGAACTGTTAAGGGAAAACACTAATTGCGTGAATAATAAGGAGGACGGAAAGCACCTGATGACTCGTAGACTTCATTCTAAGAAGGTTTTAGTTGTGCTTGATGACATAGATCACAGAGACCATTTGGAGTACCTAGCAGGGGATCTTGGTTGGTTTGGCAATGGCAGTAGAATTATTGCAACAACAAGAGACAAGCATTTGATTGGGAAGAAGGATGCATTATATGAAGTGACTACTGTAACAAACTGGATATTACACCCAAACCAACTAATTATATTAACTCACTAAACCGAATTACAATAACCAAATATTAATAGAACAATAGAAAACAACAACACTACAGGAAACAGAGAGTAGATGAGAAGAGAAATTACAACCTAAAGCTAAGAAGAAAGGGGAAGAGATACAAAGTCAGAAGAGGAGATGAGAGAACAGACTTGAGAGCAAGCTTCAACATATTTCCCATGCCCTGTATTCCCCCCGGATCCCAAATATAATGTCCTATCATTCTATTCGGTTGTTTAGTCATTGGGCCTCTCTCAATTCAGCTCCAGGCCCAATACTCCCAACTGGATCAGCTTTGTTGCACACTTCTGGCCCATAATCCCATACTGAGTCACGCGGGTTCACAACAATACCTCCCGCCTCAAAAAGAACCTTGCCCTCAAGGTTCGAGTAAAGCAGAAAATGCAACAATATTCGCTTGACCTTGTCAACAGCAAACAGTAAATACAAAGCAACGGTAGGATAGTTGGTTTTCTCTTCCCATAGTTCCGCCTGAAATCTAGGTAGTAGAAGCATAACAGTACAACAATTAGGATCACCATCTAGCCGCAATGAGATCAATCTAGCTAAGCATGAAGTTGCACTATGTATGTTGTCTTGGAGTAAAAACAATGTTATCCAATCAAAGGATCCCTCAAACTTCAAATCACTAGCCTGCATGAGTTGCTGTACTTTTGCTTTTGAAAGTTTTGAAGCAAGCCGAGCCAATCCAGATTTTATTCTTTCATAAGTGATTGTTCCACTATTGTATGTATCCATGCTCACGAACACATATTTTAGATACTTGATTTCTTCTTCTGAAAAATCTGCTGCAATGACCTTTATTGCTGGTTTCATGAGATTGCATATTGCCCTGAACTGCTTCAGTTTGGACAGAACTACATGGTCTTTTGGCTTGTCTGATGCTTCCTCCCATTGAACCCATGGTTGTTCAATAACTTTTGCTGAATTACTTCTTTGGTAGCATTGTTGGAACTAGGCCTGTTGCATTATTTGTTATGGATGTCCATGGACTAAGGAGAAAGTCATTTACTCCATAGATGAAGATATGAAATCTAAAATTAGTCGCTTGCATAGCATATTCATCCTTGCTAACCGGCAAGGAACTCTCTAGCTTAAGCTCTTTATGCATAACAACCATGAAATGGCCATTGTGGACTACATTTGGAAGTTGTCTAAAACTATCAGCAGGATCTTTCTCTAACGAACATCCTCGGGTGATGGTTGCATCAAACAACTTCCCTCCAGCACACAGTACCATCAGAAGGTGCATATAACACTTGTCCTTATAAAATGATGTACGTAAAGTAGTCGAGCGATTCAATACTATGCAACTCAGAAATAAACACTGAAAATTCTGTCGCAAGGACTGCTTAATGATTAACACGAACTCTTCCAACCAATCTGGGTTTGCGGACTCAACCAACAAGATATCATCAAGAACATATGTCTCATTATCAGGGACCTCATTAGCCAATATGAACTTTTTATCATGTGGCAGA